TGCCAACTTTTGCATTCCAGTTGCCCATAATTATCAGTGCATCTCGGTTGTATGTTTGATCAATTCTTTGATATCTTCATCACTAAATTTGTGGTTGGTATAGAAATCTGAATAATTGGACTTCCTCCGAGGTGTGCGTACGACAGCAGGCAGCGTTGCCCTTCAAGAGAGATCTTGAAATGTTTGCCTCGATGATGACTGCAGTGCCATTCCTCTTGGGCTGTCGTGCCTGGCACAGTGAACCACATGTTCTCAGACTCAAAATGGCCAAGGCCAACCCCTTTCAGCTCACTAGTGCCCAACACCATCAGAACTACTAACCCCAAAGTGCCGGATTTACACAGTGACTACCTCCCCTCCCCGTCCCTCTTCTGTAGAAAGAAGAGAAAGTAGGTAGTCACTTGATGGACTGGTGCTTGATTTGGGCACAAACTTGCTCAAAATGCAAAATGCCCTGATCATTCCTCTCTAACTATTGACAGACAGAAAGCCTTCGGGCTCTCATTGTCCAATTCCATATATAGCTGACTGACTGACTGACTGACTGACTGACTGGGGAGCTGATGATCTAGTCTGTATAACTTCTCCCCACTCACAACAGAGTTTATTTCTATTCAATGTGTAACTTTTGACAGATGACCCACCGTGGCATTTTAAAATATCTTTGTGAATGCAGTCGCCCTTTATCTTTCCACTAAAAAAATAGACAAGATATATGTTGTCCTCCATTTCAAAAATAAAGAAACTTTAGCAAGTAAACTTCTAAAGATCATTTCCCACATCCCACAGGGGACAGTACAGGAAGAGGCAGGATTGACAGTCTGGACTCTTAGCAAAGATTCACAGCCTTTACCTGAAACCTTTGAGAGCAGCTCTGTCCCAGGATTCCAAAAGGTTTGATTTTCAAAAGCAGATGTGGGTGATACCACATGCAGACAGAGCCCTCCGCAGAGTCTGGGAGAGAATCCCGATTTCAGATATGGAATGCCAAGGTTTCTGCAGAAATGTTCGTGAAGATTCACAATCTATAAAAAGTACATTGCTTTTTCAGAATGTCTCTAGATTTGCAGCAGAGACTTTAAAAGAAGGGGCCTGAGTTCTGTTCTGTAGTGAGCTCTTGCTTTGGCGGGAAGAGGTCAAAATGATCGTCAGAGCATCTCTCTCATCTCAGTCCTGTCTGCCCTGGGAATTGTTATGGCTTCTGCCTCTTCTAGTGATAGGTGACTCATTTTGTTTTCTTTCACTTTCTAGGTCCGGTGCATACTGGAAACAAACCTTTTCAGAGGAAACGTTTTAGATTAAAACGTAAGAACAATTAAACATCCATGTTGTAAGAAATAAATGCCTTTGGGGGCTACAAAAGCTTTATTCAAATGTTTTACATTCTTTCAAATAAAAACGTATTTGTGTAACTAGACCTATTTCACTATCGTTATATATATAAATATGTTTACGTATGTACCTGCCTGTTTTTAGACCAGAGCATGTACACTGGTACAGATAAGAGCTCACAAAACAGGGAATCCAGGATAGATTAAACCCCTCAGGACCAATAATGAGAGTAGTGATACCAGGAGGGTAGGGG